CCTCAGTCTTTCAAATCCATGGCCTCCTGTCCTCGACACCAATCCACTCGGCTGGGAGTATCGTGCCCCCTTATTAGGTAAGGAATTGGCTCTTCAAAACGCCAAGGTCGCAGAGTTCATAAAAGCAGAGTCAGGCTCTGAACCCCAGAGGTGGGCCACTGTGCTCCAAGCCTTCTGGGGTCCTCTGAGCTCCACCAGGAGGCTCTGAGGCTTCATAGGAATATGTTGGAGGTTTCGAATGGAGGAACATGGGGTGGAAAGAGCTGAGGATTCTCTTAGGGTACTAGGTGTGGGGATGGCAGCTCAGGGACACCTGTCCATAAGGAGAGAAGATGCTGTACCAGAAACTTCTTGTGACACTGATAGAGCCTGATCTTCTGCATGTTCAGGCTCTGGTGCTGGCTGGAGTCTGGAATCCTGCCATTTGGGTTTCTTTGTGTTGTTGTTGTTGTCTTATGTTTTTGTTGTTATTGTTTTGTGTTTTAAAGTTGGTCCAGTCATTTCCTCCTCTGATCCATACTTTCCTATGGCTTCCTAATATTTTGGAGATGAAGTTCAAGTTCTTTAGCCAGCTCACTAAGCCATCCATGAACTGGCTGCAACTTCTGACACCAGCAGTCCCCATGCCTCCTGAGCACTTCCTGCCCGGGCAATGCTGTGCCGGATGGAATGGGCTTCCCTGCTACCCTCTGCACCAAGGCCCCTTCTGGACTGTGCACCTTCCCTAACAGCAGTGCATCCGTAGGGACAGCCCGAGTTACTAGCTCCTCTCCAAAGCAAAGTTAAGAACTTCCTTTTAGTTAAACCCAATGTTCCTCCGATAGAGCTCCACCCCTGACTTGTTCCAGGCTGGGTCTGCCTCTGGCTGGGACTGGAGGCCCCTCAAAGACAGAGGCCTCGCCATCTCCTCTCTTCCTCTGCAGCCTGGGCCACTCCATCCAGGGCAAAGAGCATGTCTGGAGGGGTGTGGAGCTCCCTGCCCCAGGGCTCCCTGCCCCATAAGCCACCCCTGGTTCTGCACCACCCAGGCTTCTGCCGCCCCTGCCACGTTCCCCACCAGGCCCGCCAGCATCCAGGACACTGAGCAGTGCCAACGCTCAGCTTGGCAAAAGTCATCGAGTTAGCAAGTGCCAGATGCAGTTCTCCTGTCTCAAAATCTGCTTAATTTTAACCTGAGTACAACTCAGATCTGTCACACAGACATGACCTTGCTAATAAGTTTCTCATCTGCAAAATGGACCTATTGCTGCTGGACTCAAAGGGCATTTTGTGGATACAGGAAGCTGCGGGGCCCAAATGCTCATCCTAAGAACAGCACCAGAGGCTCCCTATACGGTTGTTTGAGAATGTAGATCCTGGGTCCCAACCTGGACTTCATGCAAAATAAGGGGATCTAGGTAATTGGATCCAGAAATTGGTGGTTTTCAAATTAGTGCTTTAGTTCTCTGACGTGTGGCCAAGAGTGAGAGCCCCTGAGACACCAAGGTAAAGCCCAGAACTCAGTAGGAACTCAAAAAATGCTAACAGGACCCAGGGCAGGCAGACCAAATTGCAAGGATAAGAGCTGCCGACATTCATGGCCTGCAGACACATCTGGCTCTGTGTCCTTGGGTAAAGTCCTCAGCCTCTCTGAGCCTGCCCCCCTTGAGAGTAAAAAGGGTCAAAGAGAGGAGTGTCCACCTCACAGGGCTATGGCCAGGACTATCTGAAATAACACGCTTAAGGTTGCCAGCCAAACTCGACCTGGGAATTCCATCAATCTGAATGAATCCTGAGTGTCTCCTTTTTGGCCATGTCACCAAAGTCCCCTGACCCAGGTGACCATTTCCTCTGGCCTGGGAGGGAGCATCGGCCTCTTAAGAGTACCACTTCCCCCCCTTAAACCTATTCTGCACCCAGAGGAGAGAGCCCCTAAAACATGGATGGGACTCCGTCATACTCTGCTCCACTGATCCGGGGGTGAAAGCCAAACCCTTCCAGGCCCTGCCTGTTCTTCCTCCCCAGGTGGTGGGCTGACCCCACCCCAGAGGTAAAGGAGACCCCTGCCCTTCCGTAGCCCAGGACCTTGAGCATTTCCTGTGTCACCCAGTAATGGTGCAGGACTGGCCCATGCATTCCCCCCGGTGCTGGAGGGTCTGTGGTCAGACGTCCATTCATGAAGCTGGACACCACAGCTGCCTCGGGACCCACCTGACCTGGACCCAGCTATCAGGTGACCCCCAGCGGGCGCCAGTCGACAGCCCGTGGATGGATATGAGCATTTCTCGGCCCGTCCCTTCCCCCACGGTCTGCGCTCCTGCCCTGGCACAGGACAATCGCCAGCCGCCGTCAGGGCAGAGAAGCAGCGACGCCCAGTGTCATCGCCGCTTTATTTGATTAGCTCTGACTCCGGCCTCGGGGACACGTGTGCTGGGAGCCAAAGGGACTGCGGGCTGACCTCTGGTCCACGCGATCCCATCCTTCAGACGATCTCCATGACAACGGTGACGGCGAGCCAGAGCCGTGGGCTTCCTTTGATGGGAGCGGATGCGGGGGGATGGCGAGAAGAACTTTCAGAAGAATGAAGCCCTTTGATTGGGCTCCAGGCGCCTTCGTGAAATCCACTATTTCCCAAGAACACACATTTCAGCCCCGCAGAGGGAGGGTCTTCATGAATACGTTTAAAAGGGGGGAAAAAAGGAAAAGAAACAGAACCGCCCTGTTCCCCTGAGAGAGCGGCCACCTGTGGGGGAGGGGAGGCGGGTTGCCATGGCGACGGGAGCACTTTGATGGCAGGTCCACTGGGCACAGGGCCCTCTCCCCCAGGGGCTGCAGGGACCCCGCTGTGGCATCTCTGCCTCCCGGGGGGGGCTCCTTTGGTCGGTCGAGTATGGAGGATGGCGAGAGGCAGGGCCACCCCAGGTCCTGCTCCTCATGTCACGGGCTGGGTCTGAGCCCAGCTCCGCCCCCTCCTGCCGTTACCCTGCCCACAGCAACTGCCACCTCGGGGCAAATGTTCCCGACTGTAAAATGGACACGATCCGAACTCCCCTTTCCCGGGGGGTCTCATGACAGTTAACTGAGGGGCCACGGCTGGCCCAGGTGACAGAAATGGCCAGATGCCCCGTGTGCCAGGGGCTGGGGCTGGCTCAGGACAGGGGACGTTCAGCTCTGAAGTCAGGAAAGCCCTGGACCAGCCAGGACAGTGGGTCACCAGGACAGAAGCCCTGGAGGAGGGGACAGCTAAGACGCAGACTCTCAGGATGGAAGGACCCGGAATGTTCCAGAGCAGCTCGTTTCCCGGGTCTTTCCCCAGATGCACACACGCCATCGCAGCCTGAGGAAGCAGAGAGCAAGGCCAGACCGCAGAACCCGGGCAGTGCTGCCCCAGGCTGCCCAGGGCAGGAAGACTGAGCCAAGGCCGGGACGCGGTCCCAGAGCAGAACCGTCAGGGGTGACCACTAAATGCCGTGCCGCGCCCTGGCCTGGGTCCCGGGGCAGGAAAAGGGTGTTAATGGAGAAACTGGTGAGATCTGAGTGGAGCCCGAATAGGGAGTTTTTAAAGCTCCAGTTCAGTGACTAAGCTCTGCCCCCAACGGTCCACTCTACAGAGAAACAGAGACGGGGGCAGAAGGAGCAGGAGAAGCTCTGGGACCTCGGTTTCCACCACTGGTGCTCGACTCTGCCCCTCCCGATGCCGTCTGCTGCCATCAGGGGACCCGCTGACTGTCATGAGCTTGTTTTCCAGAAAGAGGGGAGAGGAGCAGTAGGCCTGGAGTTAGGAGGTGTGGGCTCCAGACATGCTCTGCCTCTGACTGGCTGTGTGACCTTGGGCCTCTCTGACCCTCAGTTTCCTCATCTACAAAACAAGGAGAACAGCCAACAGATCACAAGAGAAGCCTATTTTTGATGTGCAAAGGACTGGGCAGGTACCATCAGAGATGATGAACAACGTTCCTGCCCCTCAGGAAGCTCACAGTTTTGTTGGGGAGTCGGTGCAGAGTTCTCAGGGATACTGTGTGACTATGAAGAAAGTCTTGGCCATGTG